CCCCCCCCCCCCCCTCGGGTTTTAAGGTTCGATTATCGGAGCAATTTCCTCTGCAACTTGTGTCACAACGGCGTTGCGACACAAGTAGCATGGAGCATTGCTGCGTGCAACCTACAGCGCAATTTAAAAAATGGTGCTAGACAAGTTGCAACAATCGTCGCAAAAGTAGAATTCGTTTCTATATTTGGTAACGATTGCATCTCCGTTGCAACTTGTAGATACTCTTGCAACTTGAGTCGCAACGCTGTTACGAGACAAGTTGCAGAGAAAATTGCTCCGTGTAATCGAGACTTTACTCCCCTGGTTATATCGATCTTTCGTACAGAGAATACTGCTTTTCGGCTAAGTCAAAGATGTGTTTACTTTTAAATGTATAAACTAGGTATGTGCATGACATTTGCAAGGGCGTAGCCCAGCAGATTTTCTCCAGCAAAGGGGGGGTGCACATATACAAATCAGAAAACATGCCGTTTTTTGTCCCCTCCGAAACGCCGAACCAAAGAAATTAAAATAAAGAAATGATAAAATAATAAAAGAGTTTTGCTTCGAAAAGAGAAGGGAGCGAAAGTACGATACAAAAGTTAGGAAAAAAACCAGATTACTGCCAGATTGTTTTATTATGCATCATAACTCATTTTCTACAAAGGGGCGGGCCTTTCCCTCCTCGCGCGTAACGCCTTCGATTTGGGAATTCTCAGCAGAAGTCGATCCTGCTTTGCAGATTGCTCAGTATTCAAAAGAGATAAGAGGTTATAAAAGCTGAACAGTTTATACAGGAACTATCTACTGAACAATGTATTAATAGATAATTCTTTTTGTATTCAAGCAGTAAGCGCCAAAAACTATTTTCTTGAAGAAAGGCTGTTGTACAAGGCTAAAATCTTGTTATTCAGAAAGTTTAACTTGTTTGCAGTGGAGATGACCGATAAAATTAAGTGGAATCAAAGTGTTAAACAAAAGCGAAATTTTATTCGAAAATGAGGTTTAGGCCTTCATTTGCTTATTTCACATATACTTATTTCAATAAAGTTAGTCAAAAAAACCTAGAAAGCAGTGATCGCTGAGAATCATGGGAAATACTTTATATCCAACAATTAAAGCTTTTGACAACTCTTTTAACACAAACTGCAGCAGTTGAGGATGCTCATAGGAGGTGAACTTGTAACTGGTAGAAGATCTCAAGTCCATCGACAGTTATCAAGCGGTTAAAACATGTAAAATGTATCTACCCATAATCCTTGTCGGTCTCAGCTTTGTAGCTTTTCTGGTGACTAACTTTATTGAAATAAGTGTATATTTTCTGTAAAAAAGCCTGACAAAGCAACATTCACACAAATGCAACAAAACATCTTTGTACAATTGAAAATACCGCTTCAAACAGGCATTTTATCATAGTACATAAGTTTCTAACTGTTTAAAAGAGGTTTTGAATGTTAACCCAAAACGAAAATTGGGATCAAAACTCATACGAAAGTCTGTGTGCAAGTTTAGCAGCGTACGTTTTGGTTCATTTGTCAGTTTACGTCTTACAAGTTACAACAACGTATTTGCCACTCATACAAAACAGTCTCTTTTTCCAACCATCATTACTACATAAACCAATAGACGATTCTCCTCCTGTACAACTGTTGTTCACGAGCCAAGACCTGCAATTAAAAGGGCTAAAGTTTGTAGTTTTGAGTTTTTTTACTCCAGGGTAACCAAGCATACGACAGATCACTTGAACATCCTTCATGTCCCAATCGTTGTTGCATACCAAACCCCACTTGCCGTTGTACCTGACTTCAAGTATTCCAGTATTGGCTGTCTTTCCTCCGGCTAAACGAACTTTTATTGGCGGAGTCTGAGCTGTGGAATAACCATACATATATTCACGTCAACTATAAACCATCAGATATCGTTTGAAAAGGAAAGGGAAGAATGGAGAGAGCACCTCCTCCCTCTCTCTTAACTGTTTGTCAAATCATGGAATTATTTTTGATTCATAGTTGTTTTGATTTACAGCTAAATGAGTCATTTCTCATTACTTCTGCGCAATGAAACTTCTGCTTTTTGACGCTAGAGATCTTTTTAAACTGTTAACCACGCATATGCCGCCCGCATATCAATTCAATTCCGCTCCAGTCTTTCCTCCTGGCTATAGTCATCAACTATGACACCTGTTTCAATAAACGTTGTTATCGCCAAAGGCGATAGGCAATAGGCGATAGGCAAAAAGCAATAGAACATAGGTCATTCCAAGATCCAAGAATAGCTGGAATGACTTGTGTTTCTGCTTCTTATTCTTGTGAAGAACATGGACGTTAGTGTTCAGACTGATTCAATGTTGTTTGTGTTCAACGAATCCATGTTGGCATGACCTATCGCTTATGACCTATCGACACTGCCAACGGCGAGAAAAGTTTAAATGACCCAACTGATTACAGAGACATAAACCTTCTTTTTCCTTTGTATGTGTTTGAATAATGATTCAGTGTTGGAGCGTCTTTATATCCGAACATGGGGGAAGATCACATGATCATCGGATTACGAAGTGCGAACGGGACTCTAGGTCCCATGCTAGGCATTTCCTTTTGACTAACGATATAAATCAATAGAGAATTGTCTTGGAAAATTAATACAGTTATAGTAGTAAAAAATTGATAACTAGTGAACCGAGAACGGCCAAAAAATAATCAGTGGAGATCAAACAAACTTACCAGAAGGTCTTTGATTTCCCTGCAGACCAACTTTACGACGGATGGTGTTCTTCACTAATATAAATCAAAAAATGAAACGTTATAGATTAGTAATTTATTAATTACGTTGTTATAAAATCACTTGCCAAATCATTATTGGCTTGAGAACATAGAACGCAGTAGCTGAGACCGAAATGGTGTATGGGAAGTACGTTAATTATACACAACACTTCGTGGAATGTTCATAAATTGTTGCACTGACTGTTTTATATCAACTGTGTATCTCAAATGAATACATCAGAGGATGATTATGTCATTTCCCAGAATGCTTTTCGGTCTCATTCAGTGTCTATGTTTCATGTTTTGAAGATGACAATGATTTGGCGATTGAGTGTATGTGAAGTGTATTGATGATAATTATGTTGATAAAGGTTATTTTAAATACCATATATCCAAACTCTGTGCCAGTTAGACTTGTGTGTTTTGTTCCTGTCAGGGAACCCTCATTCGACAGACCTTTCGGTTAACCATCTAACTTGTCAAGCATCGAAGATCGAGACTGTTAACAGTCTCTTTTCCCCTCCTAACTTACACTGTCCTTCCCGCGCGGGAAGTGGTCGAGCTGCAAGTGGGAAAGAGTTTGAAGGGGCACGCAGGAAGGAAAACTTTTCAGGTTCCCTTATTCCCGGGCGACCAAAACGAGAGGGGCAAGTCGAGTGAGTTAGGAGGGGAAAAAGCGACTGTTAAAGTGTATATGACACGAAAAAATTTTAATGTTAAGAATGTGTAGTTTATTGGCATTAATAAGAATATCACG